AATAAAAGGTCTTTTTAACAAATGTTAATATCTCATTGCAAATATCAGTAGGTTTGGAGGACAGGACTTGGGGCTGAAGAGATAGATCAGCTTAAGAGCACTGACTGCTCTTCCAGAGGTCATGAGTTCCCAGCAAATTCCCAGCAAACACATGAGGACTCACAACCATCTGCAGTGGGGTCTGATGCCCTCTTCTGGTGTGTCAGAAGACAGCTACAGTGTACTCATAAATAAAATAATCTTTTTTTTAAGTTTAAATATAATAGAAGCAGGACTTACTGTGCCTCACAACATCAGAAGGTTCAGTGCATGGTCATTTGATTCTATGTTTCTTAGAATATGTGAGGCAGAATATCAAAGGATTCAGAGATGGGAGCAGAAAGAGGTACACTGTATGGTAGTCGGGAAGCAGAAGGAAACAGAGACACCAAAACCAGACAGTCAAAATAGGACATAGCTTCAAACAGCATGTCCTCACCTCTACTTTCTTCAGCTTGGAGCCCTTCGTAAACCTCCTAAGATCTCCCAAAATACCACCAAGAGCTAGGACTAAGCATTCAACACATAAGCAGCACAGGGAGTGAGATTTGAAATTTAAACTATAATATCCTAGCATGGACAAAGCAAGACGCTAGGGCCCTGGAGCTAAAGGTGAATTGATAGTCACATGTTCATGAAAGTCTCTGCAGGGGCACTCACTGCAGATGTGCTTATAAGACCCATGTCAATTTTGGCTAAGGTCTTTAGATAAGTGTTTCCTTGGTATGGGAGGAACCCCAAGGGATTACAACCCCTGACAACCTTTGACTTTAAAGAAGTGTTTTTATGTAGCCTTTGCCATATTCCCTTCTTACAATGTTTGTTATTTTATAAACAGAATTAAAATAGTATCTCGAATTGTTATTTAGGACACTCATTTTAAATAGTATTGTGTAAGGAATTTTATGACAGGAAATGAGTCTCCTATAGGCATCACAGCATCAATCAGAAACCAATCTAGTCTAGCTCAAAGAAGGTACATCTACTTACACAGACCCTAACACAACTTGAAGAGGTGGAATGATATCTTCAAAATACATAAAAGCACTCGGTAGTATGTCTTGGATGTGAAATAAATGTTGTAACCATTTTAGAAATACGTGTTAAGTATTTACTGTTTATCTTTGGTTATGTTGGGCAATGGGAATATGGCAGAGGAAAATATGTTCACTTAGGGAACCGCCAACGTATATTCGGATCAGAGAAAACTGTGGCCCTGACCTCTGGTGTTCAGAGGAGACTGTTCTTTTGTATGGGTCCATGATTTGCCAAAGAATGATATCCCAGACTCTAGTATAGAAACACAAAGAGTATTTTACTCTGTATTAGTCCAGAATAAAACCATCTTTGTAGATGGTAAACAAAGATGGAGAGACTCTAGAGTGAGATCACAGACCCAATTTAAAGCACATTAGGGGAAGCCTGGGAAGGGATAGGTGACCTCTATCTTAATCTTGGCTCTATCTCTAGGAACACTCTAGAACCATTTCTGGGCCTCAAGGGGATAGAAACTGTTGCTGGGGAAGTCTGGAAACTGTTGCTGAGGAAGTCTGAAAACTGCTGCTGACTAATTGCCCTTGACTCAGGCCAGATGTCAATGCAGCTACTAAGGCCTGGACTTGTCTAGACTTGCCCAGTTTTTGGAAACAGAAATTTAGGCCTAGTCTCCTGAACTGCACATTTGAAGCCTGTCATGGAGTCAACCTAGCCTGTCTCACTTTCCCCACATCAGTATTGTGTAAAATGTTGAGAGACTTTATTATGGTCACTTATTTCTCCTCTTCAGCTGGCTCAGAGGCTGGCTCAGAGAAATGACAGAACCAAAATCCATGAGCTCCAGATAAGTAGCTCTACCTTAAACTGAGTAAAGCCAAGAGTATGGGGAAAATACAGATGCATTTGATTATCATCCTTTGCTAATGAAGGAGACTTGACCAGAGTTTGACTAGGACAAAGAAACTGGTCACACATTTGAAAGTCATTAAGAGGAAATGCCATTATTCAAGTTTGAGTGATTCGTCTGATGTAATGTATATTCTGACCTACAGTGTATATACATTGTGCACAGTCACCATAGGCTTCAGATGTATTATGAAGGTTGGAATGTGTATAACAGTGGGCAAAATACCAGCAGTCATGGTTGGAGTAACAGTTTACACAGTGAAGGCTGTCCATAGATAGGGACAGTTGCCATATTTATAAGCCAAACAACTAAAACTGACTTTCAAAAGAGAGGTAATACTGTTTTTGCTTTAACAGAATCCTGAGTAGAGGAAAAGGAGATTCAACTAGAACTTAAATATTCCAAAAGTATAACCAAATTCTTTCCTTACCGAGATATAGCACTATGCCTTTTCATTGCAGTATTAAGGCTAAGAACCACAGGTTTCTAAATTTCAAAGGGAAAGTCTCTGGAGATGCAGTTTCTCCAGAACTGGAGGTGGTTAGGGATGTGCCCAGGGCATCAGATAGCTTGAGCAATATTACCATGTGACTTCTGGGGGGTGGGGGGAGTAGTTTAATCCTTGACAATTTCATAGTTTGCAAGTCCCACATACCGCTCCAAGGATCTCAGCAATGCTGTAGATGTGAAATGAATACACATTGTGATGTTTAATTTCTTTTTTCAATTAAATTGCATAAAGGAGTTTTATACAGCATTAGAGAGGCATTCTTTGGAATTTATCTATGAGGACATTCCAGAAAGGATTAACTGTGGAATAAAATGTGGGGCAAACCATCCTGGGGCCTAGGGTCTCAGACTAAATAAAATGGGGAAAGAAAAAGGCTACCTGAATGCTGGCATCCCTCTGCCTCTGCCTCCTGAACTTCCCAGGTATAAACAAGCTCCTCCATCAAGGCCTCTCCACTGTGGGGAACCATAACTTCAACCCATGAACCAAGCACATCTAGTCTGTGACTCATGAGTCATAAGTGCTCCCAGATACCTATGAATATGACCAAACATAAGTGTAGATTATATGATGTCTAAGTGTCAGAATGTTGGGTAGCCCTGTGTGAGCAAAACCTGTGGTTACAGCAAAGAAAAAAATTAATTAATTAATTAATACACTCTTCAAAACCAAATTTAGTGCATATTTAACAAAAGCTGAACAATAGTCTAAAATCCAATTCATTCTACAATGATACCAAAACATAATGTGGAAATCTCATGGAAAAAATTAGCAATTTATGCATAACAAAACTTTGAACATTCTTATGTAATTTGCATAACAAGTGGTAGATTTCATTATGTATATATTTTAATGTGTTTGAAATGATATGGAATTTTTTAAAAGTAAGTCAGTGCTGCAGAAAATACTCAGAGGGTAAAGTGCTTGTTATGCAAGCATGAGGACTTGAACTTGGATCCCCAGCACTTTTATAAAAAGCAAATTAGGTGTCATACATCTGTAACTTCAGCACTGGGAAGTGGAGCCAGATGGATCCCAGGGGTTTGCTAGCTAGCCAATCAAGCCACAAGAACATGCTCCAAGTTTAGTGAGAGCTGAGGAAGACACTCAATGTCAGTTCTAGTTTCTACATGAACATGCATGGGTAAGCACACCTGAGCACACATGTACACACACAGACAAACGCATAAGAGGGTCTTCAGGCTGAGAAAGATTTGCAGTGACCCACACTTGTTTCTATTCATTGATGGTGTCAAGTCAATGAGATTGCTGTTGGGGATATGGACTAGTACATATGATAAAATCTATAGGATCCACTCAAAATTGCTAGCTTATAAATTTCTGTTAGTCAGCAAGCTATTTCATTAGTAGCTATGTGTAATGTTAGGTCAAAGTATTATTTTCTGATTGTCTTTGCAATGGTTTGTTGCTGCTATCATAAGATCAGATATTGTTGCTATTGCTATATAAGTAAATAAACTACTTTTTCTATATACATCACAATACCAGGATAAATCTAAATTTAGAGTAATAATCACAAATGAAGGAATTCAAGGCAGTATAAACATGCAAGGAAGTTCTAGAAAGTTGCACGTGAGTACAAGATATTCCACTTTAATTAACTGTATCAAAGACATACAACAAATGTGAAGCACTTAAATTCTTCAAAGTACAGGATACTGCCCCAGCTATGCTTAATTGAGAATCTAATATCCAGGACAATTGTTACTGATATACTGCAGATTAAATGATTTGAAATCTCTTAGGGATAATAAAAATCAGATAATCGCTATATTTTATGGCTATAAAAGTTCAGCTGATATTGACAGGGGGGATAGATAAAGGTTAATAGTTCAAACAAGAGCTGAATATCTTGATTAGGCTGAGGATCAATGCTTATATTCAGTATAGAAATATGTACTTCAAGTGATCTCTCATAATGTTCCATTTGAATAACGTTTCAGGATAATAATGCAGAACTTTATTTACTGGGAACTTTAGGCAAACACTACCATCTAACACCATGTTACAGAATTTGTACTGCATTGCAGGAAGAGGACCTCAGCTGTTGTATTTCAAAGCTTCCAGTCAGATGGCCATTAATAATTTATAAGGTGGCCGATAATAATTTATAAGACAAGAGTTAAAATTTCCTATTTTAGGTCATGTTTTTAAAGATCTTTTCCTTTTTTATAAAAAGATTATCGGTTTAAGGGGGTGCACATGGGCTCACAGAATAAACATGGAAAAAGGAATGTAGAAAGAATGCAATTATATTTTAAGTAAAATGTTTGTTTGTTTGTTTGTTTGTTTGTTTATAAGTTTCACCCCCACCCCAGAAACCTATATGGAAATTTCCTTCTGTCTTCTATCTGATGCAAAAGTTGTCCCTTTCAAGGGTTGCTTTCAGGAACTGATTTAACACTCTCCTGTTAGAAGCCCTGTAGCTAGTGGCAAAATGCACATTCTCAGCTCTTACTAGTTCATAGATGATGTCCTGGATGACCCCACAGACAATGTCTGTCTGCTTTTGTCTTTTCTCTGTAGGAGCTGAAGGCACAGTCTTTCCCAAATCTATAGAAACACCTAATGTCAGAGCAGACCCCTTCAAAGAACTAAGGTAAGCTTCTGGCTTTGATTTGCATAGATCAGCAGCGGTTTCCTGTCTGTGGCTAGTCAAGGACTTATTTTGCATAATATAATTTGCATAGATCGGTAACTGTTTCCTGTCTGTGGATGAACAAAAACTTATTTTGAATAATATTGACATTTATTATATGAAATATTTTAACTGGGACAGATTGGAGAATTTCTGAAAGACAATCATTTTTTTTTTAAATAAATTCTCTTCTGAGTATTTAAGGAACCAAAGGTTTGAGGTGAGAAGTTTCCAGCTATGTAAAGGCGATTGGTGATTAGATTTCTGGGCTGACAATGTCTACTTATTGCTTTTTCCTGTGTTGCTACAAATCAATACAGTTAGTAAACAAATCACAATTGATGTTTATCAGCTGCCCCAAAGTTATTATGTAACAGAAGTTGATGTCTAAACCAAATTCAATTTTCCCCCCATGAAAGAGAATGCTTATTACTTGGGTAGGATTGTTCTGGGACTGTATTCTGTAAACATTCTTTGTACTAGGGTTGACCTTCAACTATGAATATGGGTGTGGTTTTAGCAGGGGAGGCATTTGGGATTCTATGTTGTTGCCACCAACTACGCAAAATGAAAAAGGATATACAGATGGATGGATATACAGATATAGCCTAAAAAACATACTAAGTGCTAACAGTAAGGTAGGAGAAACATATTAAAAATGATATGTTGATTTAAGTACGACTGTAATTTCTAAGATAGGAATGTAACCATCCAGGAGCCAGGGATGTATATGATATTTTTTTTGCATTTACATTTGTTAATTCTTTGACCTGAGACTAGAAGAATATAGGCAACATTGAATAACTACTTCCTAATAGACATTACTATAATCAGATGCATCTGTAATCCATAGGCTCCATCTACTTCTTCAGAATATAGACTCTAGATCTGTGCTTTGCAGAAATGGCCACAGACACAGGGGAGCACAACAGAAACACATTCTCAGCCATGAGAAATACATTACATAATTCCCAAACTCATAGCCTTTCTTCAAAATGTATACTCTCTAAGGATGGAGGGAAATAGATTGAGAGAAAAGAGGATTAATTATTGGGGAATGAGAACTTTTTCCCAGAAAAATCCCAAATAGGTGGAGCTGTAGTTTACTACCCAGTTGTTCTGCCACTGTGTATGCAAATGTGTATGTTCGTACATGTTTGTATATGTGTGATGACGTTCATAATATACCAGATATCTGTACTCACACAGATACTGAAATATGTATCACAATAGCCAAGATATAGAACCAACTCACTTGGGTACGGATGAATGAAAGGATAAAGGAAATGAGGCAGATACATAATGTCACTAAACTTTAACTCAGAAACTGCATCAGGATGAAGGGCCATATCTGGAGTTTGAAGATTAGCAATTAAGGGACCAAGGTTTGAATAACTTGAATCAGTGTTCTGTGGAAGGGAGGGGAAGTCTGAGCTTAGATGGGCCATTGACTGTAGAGAAGATAAGGAAAGGATGTGTAAACTGAACTGAAATGCCCATAAAGCTAGAGTCCAATCACCTAGTGATGTACATCCTAAGACTTGGAGTATAAAGGCATTGTCTTGTGATTTCTGTGTTGCAGATGCTTAGTGTGAAAACTTCACATCTGAGACAACATTTGGTAATTGGAGTCATGCATAAGCCCTATAGCCTTAATGGCTCCCTGGCTTCATTTTGTAAAGGTCTATCAAAATCACTTCTATAACAATTCTTATTTTTTTTTGCAATGCAAAAGCCATAAAAAGGATGATGGCAACATGTAACAGCATGGATGAACTCAAGGGCATTACACTGAGTGACATAAGCCAGATGTGTAAGGCAAATAGTATGTGACCTTATTCATATGTTAAACCTAAAGCAAGTAGATTTTGTATATACAGAGTAAAATAATGGTCATTATAAGCTAGAAGAAGGTAGAGCAGATCAAAAGAGCTTAGATAATGGATACCAAACATACACAGTACACTGAAGTCCATTCTGATATTATACTGTGTAGTCTAGTGCTGTAAACTCACAAGCCATTACATGTTTTCTAAAGAACCAGAAAAGATGACCTCGAAGATTGCCAACACAAAATGTTGGCCACTGTTTAAGGAGCCACAAAGGCTAATTACCCTCATTTAATCAATATTATGCCTTATGAAATTAGCATTTTGTTTCTCATAAAAAAACATATAGTTAGAATAAAGCCATACTAAAAGGGCATTTCTGTATATATCAATCCACATTGAAGAGCTGGTCCTTAGAGAACATAAAACAATATTTGCTCATAGTGTACTGAGGATAAGCTTTCAGTGTCTACTTAAAACCTAAGAGAAGTTCCAGACATTGCATTAGAATGTGTAGTCTCTAAAATTCCAGAGCAAATGCAGGTGTGGTGCAACCACATAAAGAATTCAGGTAAGAACTGCACTTTCGTTGCTTATTCTAAAATTATGGGCAAAGTCCGCAGATGCTCAAACTAATGCTTTTTTTCATAGGAATTATCCTCCTTTCATTCTGTTGCGGTGATTTAAAATACCCTGACCAAAAGCAACTTGGCATAGAAAGGGTTTGTTTGGCTTATACTTTGATAACACAGTCTATCATTGAGGAAGTCAGGGCAAGAACTTTAAAAAGGAGTCATAGCAGAATCCGTTGAAGCATGCTTCTTTCTGGCTTGCCCTCTAGCTCAATCACTTATACTTAAATACCTTTTTTAATACAGCCCAGGATTACCAGCCTGGGGAATGGTAACACCCATAGTGAGCTGAACCCTCATACAACAATTAATAATCAAGACAGTCCCATACAGGCATACCCACAGTGTTGAGGGCCATCGGCCACAGTTGACCGGGTTCACCTGAAAGACAGGCAGGGAAGGGACAGGAGGGCGGGAAGAGGTGAAGCCAGGACAAAAGTTTCTGATTGAGGCTCAATGCTTTAATGTTCAGCTTTCAATTTAAAGGGGATAACCCACCCCCACCCCCAGAGTTCCTTCTTGCTTCAGCCAGCTGGGGGTGAGCGCTAGGGGTGAGCAGAAACCATCCTGCTGGAGATGAGAGGAATCCATAGGTAATCGCAGGCTGGAGATGTCTCAAAGCAAGCTCAGCAGGCAGTCTATTCTTCTCAGTTCATGTACCAGGCTACAGGCAGCCAGAAAGGTGCCAAGGCCAAAGCAAGCACTGCCTCCCACCAAGGGCAGGAAATGCCTCCAGGCCATACCTCCAGAGTCCTATTACTTGGTCTATTGTGGTAAACAAGGTCTCATCTCTTAGGCCTGCTCAAGGCTTGGGGAAGGGCACAGTTCCCCCTTTTTAGTTCTATAAGATATGAGCAGTGCCAGCAGCTGGATGGGGTATAATATTTCATCCCATCTAGGGTACAGAGTGGCCGGGCGACTGTGCCTGTCTTAGGTTGGCATCTATATTACTCCTATATTACCCGTCATTGAGGAACATACATAGCATATTGATGTAAGCCTCTGTCTTAGGTTTATAGGAGCTCAAGACACTCTTACCCGTCGTTGACTAACAGGCCATCAATGGCACACTCTTTCCCATAAGACCAAAACCACATTCAGACCAAAGGACCTGTGGGTATGCACTAGCTGCAATTCTTCATAGCGATGGATAACTGCCACAATGAAAGCTGAGCTTGCTGAGAGCAATCCTGTGTGAAGGCAACCTATCTGCTTGAGACACAGGGTTTAAAAGGTTAAAAGCAACATGATTTATCCAAGCAATGTAGAAAATAAGATTGGAAGCAAAAATGTTCCAGTGTCTAATCCAACTGCTGGTTGACAGGAATTTAGACACAAAGTCTGGCCACCACATATAGTGGGTGACTTTAAGTATTGACGGAAACTACATGCCAGGTTAAATCTGCTGGTAGATAAGGATTTTGAGCCATCGTCATCAGAATCACAATTATTAGGCTCGAGATCTGTGTCCACTTGACAGACCAATCTTTCAGGGAGCCATTAGGCTCTGTTCTCTTTTTCTGAAAAAATACATACTGAGCCATGGCCCCAAATTAAAACAAGGTTGGGACCACACCAAGTATTAGTTAAGGGGGTCTCTCCACATGACCCTGGCAAATTCATAACAAATAATAACAAATTTCATTATGTTATTCTGACACTGTGCTTTTGCTTGTCCCTTTATTTCAAATCATGATAGGCTAAGTCCAGTTGAAAGTACAAAATTTCATAATTTAGCCTTTTCTTCTTTCTAGAACTTCTTCCTCATTGGCATCTTATAGCATGACAGCCTTTTGACAATACAATGTGACTTTGTCATTTGCAAATTTTACACCAAAGAACAAAGCAGTCCAATTACAGTGTGTGTCCTCTCTCTCTCTCTCTCTCTCTCTCTCTCTCTCTCTCTCAATTTTTGTGTGTATGTAGTATGTGATATATAACACAATAAAGTCTTATAAAAGTTAAGTAAGTTTGTGGGTTTTTTTGTTGAGCCCCATCCCTAACTATCTTTAGTTGTGAGCTGCAGGGTAGATATACCTGTTAGACAGATTGAAAGGATGCTCAATTATGGTTCACAGACTAGTTTGGATAAGAATGCCTGTGCATGATTTGCATTTTCCATTTATTGAATAGCAGCACATTTTACTCTGTGCTTCTAAGTGATGCTGACCTTGCCTATGGAGCCAAAGGATAAGGATCTTAAAGTCCATGTCCTCTGGCCTCTGCTACCTTCATGCTGCTGTGTCTTTGGACTCAAGGAAGCAGAGCACTTTAAATGAGACTCCTAGACTTATATTGGAAAGTAGAAAATCACAAACTTTTCAGGGGGCAGCATCTTAGTCCATTCCTAGTGCTAACCCAACAAAGTTAAAATGGCTTGGTTCTGTGGGTCAGAAACCCACTAAACACATTCCATGGCATAGAACAAAACATGGAGCCCTGGCATCTACAGAAATAAAACTCTCTTTTGGTTCTAGATATCTATTCCTTTTATAATATC